TGTTCTTTCTCTGACCCCCTACTCTTTGGAAATCCCAAATTCCTCTGTGGGGTGGGTATGGATAATTTCTGTAACTACACATATTTCTGAGATTAATGTGTCATAGTAGATATTTTTATCACCATAAATATGAAAGATAATAGACTGATGTTTCGGACGTTAGTCCTTCMTCGGAGTCAACGTCGTCRGAGTTCACAACTTAAGCCTCACATCGGTTTTGAATTTGGTCTATTATCTTTCGTATTTACGGTGATAAAATTATCTACTATGACACATTTATYTCAACTAAAAACACCGACGCAGTCCAAACTAGTTCCAAAACTAGTCGTTATCTACATWTTTTTACTGAGATTAAATTAATGTAAAATATGCTAATGCTCTAAATATACTAATTAAATAGATTCATACTTCCTTTAAAACAATGCCTAGCACTATATTTCTATATAAAACATACTTGTAGTCTTCTTAAATCTCTGTTCTTGCCATAAAATAGATTTCTGCTACTGCTACAAAGCATGCCAGGACAATCCCTATGATAACTCTCTGTAAAAAACGATAAGTGCATTACTAAGTTGATTTATTGTTAAAATTAAGGAAATCACTACACTGGTACCCATGAAAAATTCATAAAGTAGACTATATTGTTCTAGAAAAATAAAATAAAATAAATCATTCTTTAACAGGGTTCCCAGCCATTTTGAAAATAAAACATTCCCTGACTTTTCCCTGACTAAATAACAGTTTTCACTGACCTTGTTGAACCGCATGGGCAAGCATGGGCCACATGCCTAACTTTTACCTAGGCCCCGCCCTTATCATATTACACAGGATACCCAATGTAATTAAACTGTCCRGCATAAATGATACTAAATACTTCAATATTTTTTTCATTATTTGAAAAGATTTATCAGTCTATTCAAAAATTTCAAACAGCATGAGCATCACACGGATACTCATGGTTAACGTTAAACTAAATTCCCTGACTTTTCCCTGACTGTGTTTTTCCCTGACTTTTCCCTGACCCCTGGGAACCCTGTTTAAGTGTCTAGGCATTTTAGCACTTCCGCACTAATTGGGGACCGACACCTTTCACTCTCACACACACTACCACTATGTGCAATGATCTCTACACAATGATCAACTTAATGAAATGAAACACTTACCAGAGCTAGATTTGGAAATGCATATTGTGAAGCAACAAATCCAAACACGAATGTGGCACCAACAGTACACAAGAAGTTCACTACYGAGGACAACTGCTTGGATGTTGATTTTACTATAAAGTACAATAATGATTATCATTACTTAAGTGTTTGGAAGTAACCTCCTCAATCTGCCATTTTGGTGTAATGCTTTCCAATATTCAAACCATGTGTCATTCACTGAAGTGTCATTTCTTTGTTTAACGGATGTACATGAGAAGACATATGAATATGGATACAAATCAAACAAAGGATCTGATTCTCAAGAGAATGGCTTGTGATTTAGAATTTGGTAAAAATTAGTTCCATACAATTGAGGTATAATAGAACTACCTTCCAGAATACTCCATCTTACAGTTCCATTCAGTGACCAYGAATAATWGTTCCTAGCTGAAGCTGGAGTTACTGCGCATGATAAACTGTAGTTTTGCTACGCRTGGATACTCCAGACTCGGAGTATTGATGGAGTATTGTGTGGTTCCAGAAAATATCCATACCCCACCATGGAGGAAATTGGAAATTCCCAGGGGGTGGTGTGTCAGAGGAAAAATAAAAATTTTGTACAAAAGGTTTGTATGGAAGAAAACTCGAGCTTCCATAGGGGTGGGGAGACCTTGTTTCAAATTTCCTCTATRGTGGGGTATGGAAATGTTCTGAAAACTTGCTGCTTTTGGTAACACCCCCACCACCTCCCCATAAAAAATCCTGGAGAAATCCAGTTCATTACCTTCTGTTGCAAGGCTTTCTGTTGTATCTGCCCACTGAAAATTAAATCAGATAGAATCAAATAAATATTGAACTTCAAAAATTTAAATTCAATCCTACCAGCCAAGATGGTTCACATGATTCAACATTGGTTGATAGTATTTCTTCATGTAAAAATCCTTCTACATACTGGGCCAAAAATAGCCGCTGTAGCCCCCCCTCCCCCTCCCCCAATGCCACCCACTCTGCGGTCCCTGGCAATAGTTGTTTCCTTTTTGGCCATGATTGATGAAGGAGAGAGGGAAAGGGGTTTAATTACACAACAAAAATCATACAAACCTTTGGTCCTAAATTGGAAACCATTTTATCATATTGTAATCTTTCCTGCTCTGCTTTAAGCCTCTTTAAACGAGCAACTAATTCTGGACTCTTTTTATGAAAATTAACAGGAACAAAGATAAATTTAATAAAATAGAATATAGAATTAAACTTATTTCTTTAAAACTAATTACTAGTTAACTATATACAGTAAAACAGAATTCACTTATGATAATGAAAATCCTTAATTAAATATCTTTTTACAATATAAGTACAAAAATTGCAAAATGTTGAGAAAGATAGTAAAAATCAATTTTTTTAATCATCTTGTGCTCGACAAGGGGAATAGTAGCTACAGCTAATCACACATCACAAGGTGAGCATAAAAWACTAGGTAAGCCACCTTAAAAGATGAGAAATAAAACAGCCAAATGGCTTGTGCTTCGCTTCACAATTCTTGGATGGTTTCAGAGCTAAGTGCTGTATTCATGTATGTACTACGGAAAAAGCTGTTTTATTTATCATAATATTTAATAAGGAAGCCCGGTAAGCCCATGTCTCCAAAGGATTGAGAGTATTGAGCKGCATTTAGGGTATGTGCTACACAACCAATAGTTGATGAAGCCAGTGTTGCATGAATCAACTTGCAAAAAAAATCACCAATCTGCATTGTGAGTTTTTGAAACTAAATCAAAAACTTACTAGRCGTTGCCAAATCCAAAAATCGTTGTATGTGACATATGTTAAGCTATGGACACACCAAGCAACACTAATGCAATGTTGCAATATTGATATTGCAAGCCACGACACACGACACAATTTGTTGCAAGCAACGTTGCTGAAGTAGAAAACTATCCTATTTCAGCAAGATTACCTGCAATGTTGCACGCAATGTTTTACCGTGTGTCTGTGCCTTTACATAATATCAATTTTTTGTGCAACAGCATATTGTGTAAAATTGTTGTTGCAAATCATCCCAATGCATGTGACATCAGTATGGCATGGTGGTGGGTAGCGTATACTGCTAATATGTCATCTTTCACAGCTTTCTATTATAACATCACTACTGTATGTAATATTACCCGATAGTATTGGATATTGGAAGTCTAATTATATGAATTCAAATATCAGATAAATATCCAATATTCGACTGTGCAGATATCACCACAGGCAGTCCAAGCAGTGTTCTTTAGGCCTAAATAAGTATTTTTAAAATATATTTTGAATTGTAAAGATTGCTGTCAATAAACTTATCTTTATGTTAACTTACCGATATACAGCATATGAAGGTTTTGTCGCCCTCTGAGGTCATTTAGAGTTATTTTTAACATGTCATTTCTTTCTTAAGCCCTGTTTACACTAGCGAGTTTTGCAGCRATTTTTGCTGGGATGTTTTCGGCGATTCTGTCCATAATAAATAATGGTATAGAATTTCTTGTAAAGTTTTATTCAGGATACCAAGATTTTCCTAGACGAATGTCTCTTTTGAAGGATGAGACAAAAGATTTTATATTTCCGAAAATTGCCACAAAAATCGCAGCAAATATCGCCGCAAAAATCGCCACTGTAAACGGGGCTTTAAGGGGAGAACTCACACGGCAATTTTTACAATTCTAAGTATATAAAAAMTAACACTGCTTGGGCTGCCTGTGTTATTGCTACCTAATTCTTCGTTTGCAATAGACGTCATAGTCGGCATGTTGGAAGAATTTGACAAAAGATTTTTTGATGAATTCTTTTGTTATATCTTCCAACATGGCGGACATCCCTTTTGTTATTGTGCTCTCTTGGGATTGATTGCAAACCAAGAATTTTACTGTACTTGATGTGGAAAAATAGTAAGCGTAATGCATACTAGCAGATACCAATTAAATTTCTTTTGTTTTACTTTTGAGTCTATAATAATGCAACTCTCTGTTTCAAGGACCAAATAAAGATTAAAATACCTTTTCAGGTGGTTTTGGCGGTTCAACATAAAGTTCGCTTCCTTCCAGGAGTTCGTGTAAATAAATACGGCTCGTTTTATCTGAGATACAAGAAAAAGCGTTAACAAAACAGAGAAACTATCATAATCACATATTCCACGTAATTTCCCTCCACTAAAGCTCAAAAAAGATTTTTTCCCCCATTTTTACCAGATTTGGTTTGATTCTTCTTCAAATAAAGCCAAACTTCCCGAACTAATTTAAACTCTATAACTCTTTGTATCTTCTTATCCCTGTCATTATCTTCATCCTCTCCGTAATGTGAGAGCCTTTCTATTAAGTCCTCAGGTATTTCATCGATTTTTCTCGCCTGTTTTATGGCTTGTTCAATTTGTCTTGTCAGAATAACTTCGACCACCATTTTGTTTTTTTGCAGGGAAAMCCGCTGTCCCGGATACCACAGGAAGCCCAACCTGTAATAGTAATAATAATAATAATAATAATAATAATGATGATGATGATGGTGGTGATGATAATAAATAGTAATATTTACAATAAAATTGAATAGAATAGATGTATAAAGTTAAATATTGAATAATGAAATAACTTTATTGAGTAATATACATCAAATCCTATTCTTCGTAATATCATATTATATCATTTATTATATTATTTATTTATTTATATTATATATTTCATTATATCATATTAAAGATTGTATTTAATTCTAATATAAAAAAAGAAAAAATTCTTCGTAATGATAACGTCAGTACTAAATAATAATAATAATAATAATAATAATAATTATTATTATTATTACTAATTTTTCATCGAAAAATATTGCTCTCTAGAAACTGAAAGAATGAACCTTCATTATAACCCATCTCTCCCCTCCCCTAATATTTCATGGCTTCCGAACTCATCCATACACATCCTGTAGTTTCCTGTAGACAATTACGCCCCTCTCGCATGCGCACCTGCAATTGTTAGGAATGGTGTATGTATCAGACGTTAACCTTGGCTAAAGAGACCCGTACTATTTTCTATTTCCATGTCTGCCTTATACCTTTACGTGAAATCAATTAAACTGTGAAATAGTTATTACACTAATACACTTTAGTAGAACCTAATTCCACTGTTTTCTTTTGTGTATAGTTAACTATTACACGTTGAGTAAAAWTTTTTTTTATTTCACAGGCCCAATGCCTTCACCCTACAATTTCAGGCTTTTTGYTTTACTAGTATTTTTGAAGTTGCCGATATTGCCGATATATTGTGCAAATATTCGGTATCTTTTGATATATTTTTGTTTATGAAAATAATTGTGTTGCGTGTAGATAGTGATGAAAACCAGTGCAATACACAAAAGATGCTTTTACCCCAAGGCCTCGTCGCGTGCAAGCAAAACCAAAAATACCACCTAAAATAGCCTATTCCACAGGAAAAATTATCACTCTTTGTTTTAGAGCGCACGGGTTCGAAACAAGCGTTCAAACAAAAATGTCTATTCAAATAACAAAAACAAAACTGATGACCGATCGAAACAAATTCTTCATTTCAATTTCATTTTCGTTTTTTGATTTGACCCTTCGACTTTAGTCAGAAAATTGTTCAAACGTTTGAGTGTATCTATGTTCACAGTGCTTAACTTCACATTTCTTTATGCTCTTTGTGCGCTTCGCGAGCCACTAGCTTCTCTGTAGCTCTTTCTTTTCTTGCTCCTCGGTTCAGCCTCTAAATAAACTATTTTTTAACTTCGATCTTAACTTGTGAATTGAACGTATTCACGAAGCTAGCGTGTATCCTTGTTTGTCTCATTAGCCTGTTATCATTAATCTCACGCTCATTGGCATGTAAKACAGGCTCAAATCGTTCTAATGATATTGCCCTTTGGCAAACCCGTGACCCAGGATCATACTTGCACTTTTCAAAGATTGGCACTTCTCTCTTGGAATAGAGCGGCTGAGTGCCATACTATGATATCAGTTATGGGGATTTCCCTAAAACAGTACGAAACTGTCGCACTCACTTATCTGATACACCGKCAAAAAGGGATTTTTTTGGTTAGAGCGACAAGTGTTTAGGAGTTATGTTAAAGCCAGTGTCTAATTTTTGAATAGTTAAAAATAAGTTCGAATGAAATTGTAAGTCAGTAGAAGAACTGGTAGTGCCCCTGAACATCAAATAAAAAAAGTGAAATCCTTCTTTGGTGCATCTGTAATTAACGCGTCTAGTTTTAATTAATTCGGTCATAACAAGGTCCTGAAGGGCGTAGTTTTTGCTAAAACTAACTTTATTTATGTATCAGTTGGATTTTTTTTGGCTGAGCCTTGTCAGTTTGTATGTAACCAATTAATATTTTCTAAGTACTAAGAAAAAAACGTGATTTTCCAGTGGACAGCGGTATTCGTGTGAATGTAGGACGTACCACTCCGTTAGGATAGGGTGGGAGGGTCATCACCAGGCTTTTCTTCCTTTTTTATAGAATATGCTTATTTCGTAGTGTAAGTAAATGGTTTCCGAGTAAATATGAAATTACGTTTCTCATTGAGCCAATCATAGCACACAAGGGATTACTACTCATCCAATCAAAACACTATGAGCACCGTCTTGAAAAACTATGGTACCGAGTTACGTCACTCACTGAACCAATCATAGCACGCGATGGATTATTACTCTTCCAATCAAAACACTAGAGCACTGTCGTGAAAAATTATCGCACTGAGTTACGTCACTCACTGAACCAATCATAGTCAAGAAGGATTGCTACCCATCCAATCAAAACACTATAGCACTGTCTTGAAAAACCATGGCACTGAGTTACGTCACTCACTGAACCAATCATAGCACGAAAGGATTACTACTCATCAAATCAAAACACTATAGCCCTGTCTTGAAAAATAGGCTTCCATTCCCAAATCAAAATAAAAACGTTGGGCAATATATTTCGTATCTCCAAATAAAATCACTGTTCCAACAATATTTATAAAATATTTGAGAAAAAGGCTCGCGCGCTGATTGGCTGGCTAGTGTGTTTATATCAGAGGACAGAGACACGCTCGCGCAAATTCGTTCAAAAATATTTTATAAAAGCAACTATATAAAACGGCTGGTTATGTCTCTGTACTGTGACATGAACACATACGCCTCGTGTTCCTAAACTTGCTTCTCTTATCCTCCACAGTTCCCAGCGTGTTTATAACACAGTACATAGACATGCGCGCGCGTTTTATATTCCTTAGCTAAACTTTATCCCACACTACTKGATGGCAATAACGCAACGTTAAAAAAAAAAACTGAAAAAGTTTCCATTTATATGAAGGTACGTTGACCCTGGTAGCAGTAGAGTTATCTTCCCTTCATAGGCCTTTTCCGATATCGATAAACATGATGCATTGTGGTCTAGTCMGGGTACGAACAACACCATATAAGGCATGATGAACAAAAGATGTTTGTACTCAAGCTAGACCAGAATGCACCACGTTCGCTAGACGGCACCCAAGGCCGTTTGCCCAAAATTGTTGCATTTTATTGTAAAGGATCTTAGTAACACATCGTGAAGGTCAGTGAGAAGTCTACAGCTCTGTCTTGCCGGGTGAGCCAGCAGAAAACTGCGCGAGGACGTTGCTCCTTTTCGTAAATTCATCTACTTTGGAGGCACTAATCTGACCACCTGAAAAAAGGTAAAAGACGAATCAAAGAAAAACACTATGAAGAAGCTCTTGGATGTTATGGTAAAATCMGCTGTAGCGTTTTTTAGAGCTTGCAACTAAAAGTCATGCAATAAATGAAGATTTTTTTTTTCGTTTTGTTCAAGTAATCTGCTGCTAATAAAGAGAGRGATTAAGCTTCTCGTTTACGGCAAACGTGAAACGTCAGTTGACCATTAAAAAATTCTTTAAAATTAGTGAAAAGGAATTGCAATGATCTCCTAGTAGTAGATAAAAATAAGAATACTTGTCTTTGTCGGGAAGGTAGGGAAACGATGAAAACGTGGTCACGTTTGCCGTTTGCGGGAAGAGAAAACGGGAATCTTAATCTACCTAATGCTGTCGTTACTTTTGCCGTTTCAATTTTGCTACGGATTTTTGTTGTTGCTGCTGTTGCTTCTATTACGAACGAACCTTTTGACTTATGGTAAAAGTCGAAAGACATTCTACTGATCGTTCATAAGATTCTCTGTATTAAGCAAATCTTACAGAAAGGGGTAACRATGTATTACAGACAGAAGAATAAGGGAAGGTTGACAAACATACCTAGCAATCGCTCCATACGACTTGTTTCAGTAGTGATAAATGAATCTCCCACTTGCTTAACTTTCTCCATCACTTTGACATAGTACTTGGCCATCCTTTTAGAAACGACAGAAACAAATTCGTTAATTAAGTGACACTGGCTCTACCCTGGCTCTACCCTGAGTGAGAAAAAAGGCCTCTGGACCCCAGCAGATGCTGAATCTCAATCAAGTGTCATATCAAAAAGGCTTTGAATTCATATTATCTCCAAATGGTGGGAAAACACCGATCTTAATTTGTGCTGTCRACCAGAAAGAATTTTATTGAAAATTTGCTATTCAGTCATAAAGATGCGTATGAGACAGTAAATGTCATCTTGAGACATCAGACAATTCTCACTTGAAAAATACTAAGAAGCCGTTTATGGGGTTAAGTGGGAAAGAAAGATGCTCCTACAGATATCTTGAGTAACCCTCTTTTCTCAGTTATTCTTGTAGTACTAACAGATTTGTTCTTACTTTTTATCTTCCTGGCTATCAACTAGTCCTTTGGCTTCTTCATAAACAGCATCTCGCTTGTCCTGAAACAAGCAAGTGTTAGAAGTAAACAAATAAATAAACAATAAATAA